AGGAGGCCCCTACAATGCAAATCATTTGGAAGACTGTAAGGGAAGAACTCTAACGACTAATTGCTGCTCCAGCTCTCTTAAAAGCATTGTAGAAATAGAATTTTATGCATAGTTTTTATTTGTTTCAGAGAAATTCTCATAAGCATTGAGTTCCCCTGGGAGCTCTAATGGGTCTGAAATGTTTTCCAACTGAAACATGGTAACACATGATCACCTAGCAATGAGGGGTTCTAAAAAAATAAAGGCAGTTAGTAAAGTTGGTGATGCTTTATGGAATGAAAATCTTTCAAAACTGTATTATGTATTTATCCCATGACATAACAAACAGTCTATAAAATTTAACTTTTCCTTCAAGACTCAGGGTCACAACTGTGCCATAGAAATAGAAATTGCTGGTACAGAACATCTGACAAATTTAGCCTTCCTTCATCCCCTAAGCATGCAAGCATGCAATAGGAAGTTTTAAATTTTAATTGGTGAAGAAAATTGCCTGGAATGTGCTTTGTTGAAAATGGCTGGACTTCTTACCACTCACCCTCTTTTCATAAAACTGAACTAGTGGCTCACAGGGAAATTTATAGCATTAAATGTTTATGTATTAGTCTGTTCTCTACTATAAAGATACTATATGCTTATGTATTAGTCCGTTCTCTTCTATAAAGATACTATCTGAGACTGGATAATTTATCAAAGAAAGAGGTTTAATTGACTCACAGTTCCACATGACTGGGGAGGCCTTGGGAAACTTATAATCATGGCGGAAGGCAAAGGGGAAGCAAGGCACATCTTACATGGCAGCAGGTGAGACAGAGAGAGAGAAGGAGAAACGAGGAACTGCCAAACACTTACAAAACCATCAGCTCTCATAAGAACTCATTCATTATCAAGGGAATAGTATGAGGGAAACTGCCCCCATGATCAAGTTACCTCCCACTAGGTCCTGCCCTTGACACATGGAGGTTACAATTCAAGATGAGATTTGCATGGGGTCACAGAGCCAAATCATTTCAGCTTATATTAGAAAATTTGAAACATCTCAGAGCAATAATCTCAGCTTCCACTTCAGGAAATTAGAAAAAAAAAAAAAAAAAGAAGAAGAACTAAATAAATCTAAAGCAAGCATAAGGAAGGAAATAATATATTTAAAAATAGAAACCACCAAAACTGAAAACACAAAAATAATAGGGAAAAGTCAATGAAGCAAAAAGCTGGTTATTTTAAAATATCAATATAATTTATAATCTTCAAGCCAGACTGACAAGAGAAAAAGACTCAAATTATCAATATAAGGAATGAAAAAGAACATACAGTGATAGGCAGCCCTACCAGACATTAAAAGGTTAATAAAGGAATACCAAGAACCACACTACTCACATAAATTCAATAGCTTATATGAAATAAATGAATTATTGAAAACCAATTGCCAAAATTCACCCAAGATGAAATAGATAGCCTGAATAGTCCTATAACATTAAAAAACTTAAATTTATAGTTTAAAACTTTACACAAAAGAAACCTCCATTCCCAGATAGTTTCACTGATGGCTTCTACCAAACATTTTAAAAAAGAAATTACACCAATTCCACATGATCTCTTTCAGAAAATAGAAGAGGGAACACATCTCAATATATTTTGATGAGGCCATTATTGTCCTGACAACTAAACCAGACAAAGACAATACAAGCAAAAATAAAAATAAAAATAAAAAACCCTACAAACTCACATTCTTCATGACTAGCAATGTAAAAATCCTCAACAAAATATTATCAAATCAAATCCAGCAATATGTCCTTGATCTTGGACTTCCCAGCCCTTAGAACCATGAGAAAATCGATTTCTGTTGCTTAAGCCACCCACTCTGTGGTATTTTGCATAGTAGACCAAGAAGACTAATACAACAGGGATATATATTAGGATGGAAGAAATAAAAGTGTACCTATTCACAGGCAACATGAATGTCTACTAGAAAATCCTAAGGATTACACATATATACACACCAGTTGTATTTCCACATAGTAGCAATGTGCAATTTAAAATCAAAATTTAAAAATAAACATTTAGAATAGCTTCCCACAAAATGAAATATTTAGCAATATATCTAACAAAATATGTACAGAATCTGTGCATGAATCTGTACAGAATCTGAAAAATAGAAAATGCTCATGAAAGAAATGAAAGACATAGATAAGTGGAGAGACTTAATATGTTCATGAATTGGGAGAGTCAGCATAGTAAAGGCATCAGTTCTCCCCAAAATCATCTCCAAATTTAATATAATTTCAATCAATATTTTAGAAGAATTTTTAAAGATATATAAAAACAAATTCTAAAATATCTGTGGAAAGGCAAAGAAATTAGAGTAGAAAAACCATGTTGAAAATGGATAAAATCAAAGGAAACACATTACTCAATTTTAAGATGTATTATACAATGGAAGTAATCAATACAGCACAGTATTGGTAAAGAGATAGATCCATAGAACAGTATCAAGCCCAAAAATAGACCCACATAAATACGACCAATTGATTTTTGACAAAAAGTGCAACAGCAATTCAACGGAGGAAGGATGAGTTTTTCAACAAATGGTGTTGAAACAAATTATATTGGACAGCCAAAGCCCCAAAAAATAAAATGAACATCTTCTGAAACATCACATCTTATCCAAACAATAATTCAAAATAGAACACAGATCTAAATGTAAAACATAAAACTATGAGACGTTTAGGATAAAGTGTACGAGAAAATCTTGATAACCTGGGGTTAGGCAAAGAGCTCTTAGACATAGTACCCAGAGCTCAATCCATAAATTTTTTAAAACATTGATAGATTGGACTTCATCAAAATTTAAAACTATTGATCTGTGAAAGACACTTTTAAGAGAATGGAAACACAAATTACAGATGGGGAGAAAGTATTTACAAGTCACATATCCAACAAGGACTTGGATCTAGAATGTATAAAGCCACAGCAGTCAGAAAACAGCTTGATTAAACAATGGGCAGAAGCTTTAATGGATACTTTACTAAAGAGCATATGTGAATGGTCAATAAGCACATGAAAAGATGTTCCACACCATTAGCCGGCAGGGAAATGCAAATAAAAACCTCAAGAGATAGCATTACACATCTATTAGAATGGCTGAGATAAAAAGTTATTGATAGTACTGAGTACTGACCAGGATGCAGAGCAACTGGAACTCTTGTATCTTGTTACTGGGAATGTGAAAAGGTACAGCCACAATGGAAACCAGTTTGGAAGTCTTTTATAAACTTACACATACACTTAAGGTACACATACGATCCAGTCATTCCACCCCTAGGTACCTGCCCTAGAGAAATATAAATGTGTGTTCACACAAAAATCAGTATATGAATGTTTATAACAGCTATATTTATAACCACCAAAAACTGGAAACAACCCAAAAGTCCTTCAACTAATGAATGGACGACACACTGAACATATCTTGGCAATGAATGACTAGCCAGAAATAAAAAGAAAGAACTGACTGGTGTACACAGCATCTAAGATGAATCTCAGAGAAATTGTGTTGAGTGAAGCCAGTCTCAAACATGTTACACACTGCTCAGTTCAATTTACTTGTCATTCTCCAAAACATAAAGCTGTAATGACAAGGAGCATCAGGGGGTGAAGAGGCAAGGAGGGTGTAAATACAAAGGAAGGGCAGATGACAGGAAGCAGGTTTTTGAGTAATGAGTTTACTCGGAATCCTGATTGTGAGGGCAGTTACGTGAACCTATACATGTTTTCAAACTCATAGAACTACACACACACACACACACACACACACACACAAAGTCAATTTTATTGTATGTATGTTCATTTGGAAAGAATTTTAATTGAAGTATAACAAGAACTGCTTTCTACAAAATGAATGATAGACTCAACTGTTGGAACCATCTCCAGCTCAATTGCTTTGCTCCTCAACAAACTCTTCCTTTTCACTATTGTGTTCTGTGTTCTTTGATGTGTATCAGAATTCAAAATATTTTCTTATGTTAGCATCCATAACAATCCAAGACCAATAGTATTTAAAAACCTGGATACAACATCAGGTTGGACGCAGTTACTCATGCCTGTAATCCTAGCATTTTGGGAGGCGAAGCCAGGTGGATCACTTAAGGTCATGAGTTTAAGACCAGCCTGACCAACATGGTGAAACTCCCATCTCTAGTAAAAATACCAAAAAAAAAAAAAAAAATAGCTGGGTATGGTGGCACACACCACTAATCCCAGTTACTTGGGAGGCTGAAGCAGGAGAATTGCTTGAACCTGGGAAGCGGAGGTTGCAGTGGGCTGAAATTGCACCATTGCTCTCTAGCCTGGGCAACAGAGTGAGATTCCATCAAAAAAAAAAAAAAAACCTGGATACAACATCAATCTCATTAACCCATTTAACATCACTTGTAAAAATCCTCATACCAATCAGCCTTCTGAGTTAACTCAGTCTTTTTGTAGTTTGCCCAAATGTAAATTTTGCCATTTGTTCATGCCTAGAGATACTGCCAGTACAAATAATGTATCTATTAAGCAACTATGGGTATAAATGGAACCTCACATATCTGGCTGTTCAAATTCCTCATTTTCATTGCTCTGAATACTTGACGGTTTCAAAATCCAAAAGCCCTATAATTGAAGTCTTGATGTAGGTACTGACATTTATTTAATCCAAGGTAAAATTATCAGAGCCTTATCAAACACACATACACCTGTAATGCCAGCACCTTGGGAGGCCGAGGCAGGTGGATTGCTTGAGGTCAGGAGTTCGAAGCCAGTCTGGCCAACACGGTGAAACCCCGTCTCTACTAAAAATACAAAAAATTAGCCACGCATGGTGGCGTATGCCTGTAATCCCAGCTACTTGGGAGGCTGAGGCAGGAGAATCGCTTGAACGTGGGAGGTGGAGGTCGCAGTGAGCCGAGATCGCACCACTGCACTCCAGCCTGGGCAACAAGAGCAAGACTCTGTCTCAAAAAAAAAACAAAAAACAAAAAACCTTTATTACGAAGCTGTTACTATCAAATGCATATTTTAAACATATTTATTTCTTACATCTATAATCCAAAAGGTCAGTGAATTAATAGATGCTTGGATGATACTCGCTACCTGTTTATTCATACACTGGACATCAACTGGCCTTTAACCCACAGTTAAAATCCTAGTCAGTGCCTCAGATGGAGTGACAGACACTTATTAAACTCTGCTAAAACTTCCATTTATAGCCACATCTTCTTTTACTCCTTCTTTAAAACTTCGATACGGACGTAACCCAAGAGGCCATTTGTTCTCATTTCACTGTCTGTTGGCAGCCATCTTCATGAATCGTCTGCACAAGTGTGCATTGTATATTCAAGGGCAATTAAGTTGCTAATAGTCAGCTATTTCCAAAGTCGCCTGCTGCAGATGATGGTGTATGATGGAGCATCCGATGCCAGAAATGTAACTGGAGAAAGGAGGCTGTGTTTTTGCTTCACTCTCATTAATAAAAGAATCTAGCAGAACTGAAAGGAAGAGCCCAAGTTTTCTACTGAGTGTTTTATGTCGAACTTACAGTACAGTGAGGTGCTGCCGTGTGAACTGGTTTATGGCACATATGGGAAAAGAGAAGAGACCAACATATTTTTTTCCATTTAGTCGTACCAAATATTCTGCCTCTTTCCCTACAAATTCCTTCTGAAACACTTAAGCAAAATAAGATGCTCTCCCTACCCCAGATAGAAATGTCTTCGCTCATTAAGCCCTTTCTTCCAGAATACTAATTCTGTGCTTGACTGATGCTTTATTACAGATAAGAGAATAATTCAAAATTAAAAGACGTGAAATGAAGCTCTTCTAAGCTATCACTTAGGCCATTTGAGGGAAAAAATACTCTCATCTGATGCAATTTTTCAATAATAAAATGGACACGACATTTGTTCAAAGTTCTGATGGCCTGATTTTACCTTATTTTCTGAATAGTATTTAATGTGTGATATGAATAGCCATTCGGGTTCCAAAAGCTCCCTTTTCGGGAGAGAAGGTTTCTTGAGCACCTTTTTCTCTGTTCTGTGTTAGGACAAGGCTGCTTGTCTGGCTCTCTGGGACTCTGGGGCGCCCCCTGCTGGCCAGAAAGCACATTGCCCGACTGTGCTGACCTAAAACCAGTGGGCTCTGGTTGGGTAGGTCCCCTGCTGCAACTTAGCTTAGGTGCTTTCAATGTCAATCATATTCAAGTAGGAGTTTTCAGCCCTTTCAGTTTTGCTAAGTGGTCCTGAGGACACATTTGACATGAACTTTTGTCCTTAGGCGTTTACAAGGTGCCCCCAGTGAGGGTAGCTAAACGGACTAAACATGACAATCAAATGTCACCCAAGGCTGGCAAAAGTGTTAGAAGGCGTTTGCCTCCAGTGACCACCCGCCTTGGCTCCTGAGTGCCTTCTCCACAAAGCTTGTCCCTAAAGCATCTGACGCCGAATCCTCTTTGTGCCACAGACACAACATAGGCAAAAGAAGTCCACTTTCAGAGAACTGGGCATTTTAAGCCAGCAGTTGAAATGTGGAACAAAGGTTTTTTTTCTATAAAGCCATTTCCAGAATCTTCCCACACGTGGAACATCCACTCCACCCCTCCACCCCCCGCCCCCAAAGCAGAGGAACTGCATTGAGAGGAGTGAACTGGCTGTCTCTCCCCCAAGGCCAGCCTGGTTATGGGGGCGGGTCACAAGGGGCCATCCCTTGGCCTGCAACAGAAACGCAGGCTGTGGGGCAGGTTTCTTTTGTCCTCCAATATTATGCAGATAAGTAAATCAAATTAAGTACCTGAGATTTTTTTTTTAATTAAGGGTTTGGTTTTGATTAGATGCGGATCTGTTGTAGGCAGAAGAAATTTTATTTCAAAACCCTAGACACCTCAGCTTTTCTGCAGGTCTTCAATCAGGGCAGATGTCCCAGAATGGCAGGGAGCTCATCTTTTGATTTTCAGGTGGGTGGACACATGGGACAAGGGTAAGAATTGAGCCTGAGAATAACAGAAGGAGAGACACAGGCCTATAACTTCTTTAGAAGTCAAACTCAGCTGCTCAGCTCCTCTGACATTTTTTGTGTGTGCATCATAAAAGAAAACAACAAGCTATAGTCAATATTTATCCAAAAGAGGTTCACTGAGTCCCACAAACCAGAACTTGAATGTTAGAAGCCCCTATAGCACCAATCAAGACCAGAAACTAGAGATCATAAAATTGAGGAATGCTAGAGTTGGAGACCACCGGATGTGACCCTCTTCATTAGGAGGCATTTTTACCTTCTATTCCACTCAAGGAGGTTTAGTTTCTGCAGAAGGCAGGCAAAGGCCATAGGCTGTAAAGGAAAATTGCAGGGGAATCATGATCTTCCACACAGAAGCCAAAATAATTATTTTCAAATAACAAAAGCAGTTTTCATCTCACATGTGCCGGCACTGTACCGAGCACCTCACCTGCATCATCTCATTGCACTTTCACAAAACTTCATGAGGTTCGGATGGTCCTCTCAAATGTATTCCCGTGCCACAGATGGAGAAAGTGGGGTCCAAAGAGGAAGTATCTTGAAAAAGATCAGAAAGTAAGAAGTCTGGATCAAGCTCAGTGCTAGAACGCAAGCTCAGTGCTAGAACACTGCCTGGTACATGATAGGTATGCAATAAATATCTGTGGAATGAGCGAGTGCATAGATGAGTGAAATGTGAGAGAGGATGCAGCTCAGAACACAGGCTCCAAGCCATCATCTCAGTGATACAGATTAGGCAATGCAAGTGGATAATCCCAAGGTATGGTACTGTAACGCAGAAGAAAGAAGATGAAACCTGGATCCTTTCTGTGGGTTTGCTGAGCCAGTCACATGATCTCAGACAAGCCCAATCTTCTCTTCTTTCAGTAATTGGAGCTTTGCTTTGAGCAGTTCTCACTGGAACATAGGGTCCTATAGATTTTGGCCAAGCAAGTCACATGGAGCCACTTGCAGGCATCTGGGTGGAGCTAAACAAGCGTTACCAAAAACAGTATCTCTAGGAAGTGCCAAGTTAGAACAAAGTTAGAACCAATAAGACCATCCAGGATCAAGTCACCATCTGGAAGAAGCCTCAAGCAATCAGGGAGAGAGCTCAGTGAACCCCCAGGGAGCTGAGGAACCAGCTCATCACCTAGTCCCACCCTTCACACCAGCCACAGTAGGATATTGAATGTAAGTCAGTGTTATTCTCATCCCAGTCAGAAGGGAGATTAATTGACATCATTTCATTGTTTATCTGATTGAAAAACACAGATTCAAACGCAAAAGAAATAGAATGAACCAAAATATGTTTGACCTTCCTAATAATCAATTAAAGATAAATTAAAATAATAAGACACCATTTACCTACAAAATTGACAAAGATTTAAAAGACTGATAAAGCCCAGGATGGATTAGGGTATAGGAAAAGGGAGATGCTTCTGTATTGCTGGTGGCAAAACAAAATCTTGAGATGGTAATTTGGCAACATGTGACGCAAGCCTTAACCATGCCAACACCTTTGAACAAACAACTGGAAACACACAGTAAAGAGATACTTGAATCAGGATGTTCACTGCAGTATTGTTTATAAAAGTAAACAGTAAAAAAGCTAAATATTTAGCAATAGTATAGATAAATAAATATGGTAGAAAATTCTGTTGTCATTCAGATGAAAATATAGCTCCTGTATGTGTATGGAGAGGACAATTCACTAACCAGACAAAAAATACAACCCAACAGCATAAAAGAGTGATCTAAGCGACATTCAGCCACACTGTAAATTACACCATGAGCTATTACCAGTGGTCATTTCTGGGTGATAACATGATGGGTAATTTTCCCTTCTTCTTTGTATTTTCAGATATTATCAGATAATTTTGATAATCATGCGTTAAATTCCTAATCATCAAATAATCAAACCAATGAAGTTATTTTATATTTTTTAAAAATACAGTGAGTGAGAGCAGCCACAAGCTGCCTAGAAAATGAATCTATGTCGCCTCTAAACTACCAAAAGAATTATTTTTAAAATTAACAAAGGAAATTTTGTCATTATGGCAAAAACGGAAACAGGAAGAGAAAAATTAGAAAAAGTATATATATAATAAAATGAAACAAGAAAGCATGATACAGGGAGACATAAATGTAAGCTATTTAGAAGCAGAAAGTATAAAATTGGAAATAATAGGAAGAGCCTATGAGGTCACCCCAACCTTAGCTCTGGCCATACTGTATATTAGAGGATGCCACCAAGTGACAGTGACCCAGGCCACATGTGCTGGCATAGGGTAGAGAAGGCAGACATGGATCCAAGAACTTATGCAAAGAAAAGAAAAAGGGAAAACATTTAGACCTGTTGGGAGAAAAGCTGAGTGTTAGGAGAAAAGCTGAGTGTTGGGAGAGAAGCTGAGGCAGGGCTTGCATGTCTGACATAATGTAAAAGAGTCTTGGAACATGTTCAGGGTCCAGGGTCTAAAACCCCTCATGGCCTTTGGAACACCAAGCTCTGTGCCACAGGGTGGAAGGCTACCCTGATGCACCATAATCTAAGCCCAGGGCATAAAACCACTCATGGCTTGGATAGAATCCAGGGCTCGTGACTCTGGAATGTGTCTAGATTTGCTGGCTCCTTGCTCCTTGCTCTCCTAGGATCGATTGTATCTTGAGTTAAAAGAACCTGCTCCCCATTATGATAAGTAGCAGAACAGATGCTAAACCATCACAGCTGTAAATCATGTGCTTAATGCAATGCGCCCTTTTGACCCCCACATCCTCACCATGTGTTTCTTTGTTTGATCACTAATAAATAATCTGGACTTCCAGAGCTCAGGGCCTTCGCAGCTGCCACGCTCGCAATGGCCCCCTGGACCCACTTTCTCTCTCAAACTGTCTTTTCTCATTTCTTTGACTCCGCTGGACTTCGTCACCCCTACAACCTGGTGTTGGGTTCTATCCCCACAACACAGACCCCTAGCTATTACTCTACACTCAAATAAATTCCACAGGAGCTAAAGATATTTTTTAAATCATTACTGGGCTTTTTTGTTGTTTGTTTTGTTTTGTTTTGTTTTTTGGAGATAGGGTCTCACTCTGTCTATACAAACATGTTTGTCTATACAAAGTTTTTTTTTAAAGGTCTTAATATTTTATAGAAAAAATGTATCCATCTTTTCCTTTATGATTTCTGTCTTGGCATTATGATTAAAATGACATTCTCCACTCCAAGATTAGAAAAATACTTACTTATGTTTTCTTTTAACAACAAAAGGATTTTAGGCCAGGCTTGGTGGCTCATGCCTGTAATCTCAGCACTTTGGGAGGCCAGGGCAGGCAGATCACTTGAGCTCAGTTGTTTGAGACCAGCCTGGGCCACATAGCAAACCCCGTCTTTACAAAAAATATGAAAGTTAGACCGTCATGGTGGTATGCACCTGTAGTCCCAGCTACTTGGGAGGCTGAGGCTGGAGGATCACTTGAGCCCAGGAGGTGGAGGTTGCAGTGAGCTGAGATCACAACACTGCACTGCAGACTGGGTGATACAATAAAATACTGTCTCAAAAAGAAAAAAAAGAAGAAGAAGAAGAAATTCAAGTCCAAAGTCAGTCTTACTGGGTTGAAATCATGGTGCCAGAAGGCTGTGTTCTTCCTGGAGGCTCAAAGGGAGAATCTGTCTCCTTGTCTCTTCCAGCATCCATCAGTGTCTGCTTTCCCCGGACTTTCCTCTGTCTTAAAGCCAGTATCACAGGCATCTTTCAGTCTCTCTCCCTCCTTCGTCCATTTTTCAGGAATCCTTATGATAACATTGGGACTGACCAGATGATCCAGGAGAATCTTCCTTTCTCAAGATTCCTAATCACATCTGCAAAGTACCTTTTCCTATGTAAGGTAGCATATTCATAGTTTGGGGGCATTATGATGTGGACATCTTTTGGAGGGCATTTTTCTACTTACTACAGGGAACTAAGTGAGTTAATGAACCAAACTCAGAGCTTGGCAAACAACAGCACTCAGAAAGTGTTGGCTAATATTATGAGTTATTCATGATCAAAGAATGTGTGAAATTTGTTTGGGTGTGGCAGCTCATGCCTGAAATCCTAGCACTTTGGGAGGCCAAGGCAGGAAAATCACTTGAGCTCAGGAGTTTGAGACCAGCCTAGGCAACATAGTGATATCTCATCTCTATTTTAATTTTTTTAAAAAAAGAGGCCAGACACCGTGGCTCACGCCTGTAATCTCAGCACTCTGGGAGGCCGAGGCAGGTGGACTGCCAAAGGTCAGGAGGTGATCTCATGGGGAGAGAAGAGACAAGAGAGGTGGAAAGAGAGAGAGAGAGTGAAGGTGCCAAACTCTTTTTATCAACCAGCTCCAAGGGAGCTCTCAAAGGAACTAATAGAGAAGTAACTCACTTCCTTCCCTCCAGGGCATTAATCTATTCATAAGGAATCCAAACACCTCCTTCAACAATAGGGATCAAACTTCAACATGAGATTTACCTGGGTCAAATATCCAAACCACAGCACTGTATGTGTGCAAGTCTGTGTCTATGTATAACAAGTAAAGAAGGATGCACACCAAGTCTTAGTAATGAGTGTTGCTAGGTGGTGGGATTCCAGGTGATCTTGACTCTTGCATACTTGTGAGTGCTTCGAATGTTTTGCATGGACAACAGGTTTCCCCCGTTTGGTGGACAACAGCTTTTCTCTTCTTGGGAACCATCAGCAACACCAAAGAGGAAGAAACACCAGGGAGCCAAGGGGCCAGCAGCTTCCTGAACCTTCAACTTCTCTGCAACACACTTTATGTAGACTATTTCCCTTCCCAACCCCCCAGCGTAGTTGTTAGGGTAAGATGAGAAAATTAGAAGATAATGTGAAGATAAAAAGATCAAGACACATTCCAGAAATTATTCCTCTTGGAGGCTGACCACAATTAGCCCCCAGCTTCCTGAAAGCAGAGGCCTCAGAACCCCTCATCAGGCACAGTGTCTGTGTGTTGTGGGTGGGCCAGACTTCCCAGCTACCTTGTTGGTGCTCATACCTAGGATCCCCCATACACATATACCCCCTGCTCCCTCCTCGCCGGGCTAGACCCCACTTCATCTACCAGCTCTCAGTTTAAATATTGCTTCCCTGATCCAACTGACCCATTATGGACCGTCATAGCACCCTGCATGTCTTTCTGTGTTTTCAAGCCAGTGCCCAACGTAGGTAATGAGAGGTGTAAAATAATAAATCTTCTTTGCTGTAAGCTACTGTTTATAGTAACATGTAACTTGTTACAGTATCTATGGGAAACTAATACATTCATGTATGACCCTCTGGTGCAAATACTACTTTGATCCCCATTTTATAGAAGAAAACTGAGGTTTGTTTAGAGTAATTAAGTAATGGGAGAAACACTTTAATATTTTCCTGCTCACAGCAGGAGGGAGCTGGGGTGTTTATACTTCAGCTCCTACAGTCCTGTATCGAGATGGGTGTGGGTGTTCATTCCCAGGTACTTCAGGTCTACTATACCTGCTGTGGTCCATAGGGCTTCCCACAGGTAGAGGACAGAGGGAAGGGGAGGGGAGGGGAAGAGAGGGGAGGAGAGGGGAGGGGAGCGAAGGAGAGGGGAGGGGAGGAGAGAATTTCAGAAAAGACTTGAATTATTATTCAACTTGATTTCCACTTGAATTATTACCTCAGATTATTTAACGTGCGGCTCGCTAAGGCCTCTCAATTCTTGCTTCTCATTAATGGTGTATTTTTGTCCAAAAATACAGCAACTTAAAGTTCCACAATTTGAAACAGATGAAACTGATCAAGTAGGATATTTGTCAATGAAGATTCTAAGCAGAGGCTGGCAGACTAGCATGATCTGCAAACCAAATCTGACCCATGAGCCAAGAATGAATTTTACATTTTTAAACAGTTGAAGAAAATAAAAAGATGATTTCATCATACATAAAAATTATATTAAATTCAAGGCCAGGCTCACGCCTATAATCCCAGCACTTTGGGAGGCTGAGGCGGGTGGATCACTTGAGGTCAGGAGTTCAAGACCAGCCTGGCCAACATGGTGAAACCCCATCTCTACTAAAAATACAAAAATTAGCTGGGTATCATGGCATGTGCCTGTAATCCCAGCTGCTCCAGAGACTGAGGCAAGAGGATTGCTTGAACCCGGGAGGTGGAGGTTGCAGTGAGCAGAGATCATGCCACTGCACTCCAGCCTGGGTGACAGAGTGAGACTCCGCCTCAAAAAACAATTATGTTATATTCAAACTTCAGTTGTCCATAAGTAAAATTTGATTGGAACACAGCCATTCCACTCATGTAGGACTTGCACATGGCTGCTTTTGAACTACAACAACAGAGCTGAGTAGGTTCCACAGAAGGTATGACCCTGCAAATACCCAAGTTATTTACCCTCTGGCCCTTTAGAGAAGTTTGCCAGGCAGCCAGGCACACGATGATGTATCTTTCAGGCACTTGGTCCACTCCAGTGGGAGAAACAACTTTCTGTCCCCTATGTGATCCCAGCCCAGATCCTCAGCGAAATCTCCTTCCCAACTGCCCCAGGTGATGCCTCTGTCCTGTGGCCACAGGAATATTAAAGCAATAGAGCCTATTTCTTTTTCTCCTCTCCGCATCATTCCTGCAGCTCCAAATATTTCACTGCCCAAGAAGACATGCCCTTCCTTCCGGCCAAATCGTTGCATCACATTGTCCTCATTCAATGCATTCTAACCCATGGACAGAATAGAATGTAGAAAACAGCACCAAACATGCACGACCACACACAGAGCTCTTATGAGATACATTTCCCGTGAATATTGCTTAATCTAATAATTTTCACTGTTTTAATACCATCAATTTCCCTCCTGATCAGTGCTACCCATCAGGAAGTATCTTCAGGTAATTAACATTTTTACATTTTTAATTATGAAATCTTTCCTGAGCTGGCAGGGTGTCAGAGATGAGAAGCATCAAGCATCAATGGTGCTGTGATCTAAGGATTGCTTGAGGCCTGGAAAATCAAGGAGGGTGTGAATTCTGCCACCTGCTGTGTCAGTACCCTCGTCTAAAACAGAACTGGACATTGGCACAAAATAGCAGGGCTCAGTAGAAGCAGCTGTGTTTGGTGGCCAACTTTGCTCCAAAACTTCGATGCCAAAAGCAGATGTCACTTTCATCAGAAGACACTGGGATTCCGTCTTTAAGGAGACAGAGGGAGCCTGCTCCAGCCAGCCTCCACACAGGGCTGGGACACAGTGCAGACTCCCTTCTGATAGCCACTTTGGGTTTCCATCCCACGCCCCTCTCGCCTTTGTAGTCACACTTTAAATGTTTTCTTCCCTCATCTCTACTTTGTCCTTCCCTCACAGCCCTCTTTATCCCACAGTCCATTTAAAAATTCTATTTAACAACCTGCACATATCAAGTCAGAGTTTGGGTTGTTCCCCAATTCCTAGGCTGCTGTAGAAGAAGTGTGTGCCCATAGAAATGCCCCAGAATGGTAGGAAATCAGGACCAGAATGGAAAGAAAAGCAGGAAAGCAACATGCACTTACAATTACTTGGCAGATTTGCTCATGTGTTTTGGGGACAATGGTCCTTGATGTGTCTTCATCTCAAGCCCACCTCAATTTAGACCATCCATATTTGCTAAGCCTTTTCCTCAGCATCCTGTGGCTGGGTTGTCACCATTCTACCATCAAGGGCAAGCGGGAGGGCGATGTGTTCTGAGCTCAGAAAGGCTCCAAGGCTTGTCTGAGACCACGTCCCATGGAGGGGGCCAGGGTTACCACACACCCTGTCTCTCCTCCAGGAATAGACCACACACCCCACATATGCAGGGAGCCCTTCATCAACCGTCCCTGCTCCCCAGTCTTAATCCATCCTTCCAATTCCAGCTCCGTCTCTGCCAGAGACACTTCCCTCCCTTCCTTCCTCACCTTTGCTCCCCCTGTTGCGTTGGTCCCTCCAGGAGCAGTGAGGATGTCCACTCTCTCTGACCCCAACTTCCAGGGCTTAGGGGTCCAATATGTGTAGCCATAGAAACCAGTGCCGCAAAATTCCTGTTTAAGAGAATGGACAATGAAATCAGAAGGACAGGCCTGCTGAAGGGGAAAAAAAAACTTTCCAAAATCAAGTTCTCATGAAATTACATCTTCCCCCCCTTAATTTCAAAAGTATTCAGGCCAGGTGCAGTGGCACACCCATGTAATCCCAACACTGTGGGAGGCCGAGGCAGGAGGCTCACTTGAGGCCTGGAGTTTGAGACTGCAGAGTTCTGCCCTGCACTCCAGCCCAGGCAATAGAAAAAGATCCTATCTTTTTTTTTTTTTTTTTAAAAAAAGGGTATTCTGAGGCCCAGCCTACATAATGCTAACTGGTTGATATACTGGCTTGACAGTTTGGTAAGAAAAAAATTAACTTGTCTTTTGCCTGGTCTAAGTAATTTCATCTGCTTAAGAGTCAAACTTGCCATTTGATGAGGCACACCTATAACTACTAGAAGAGAATTATCTTACATAGTCATGTGTATTTAGTCCACAGCACAAAGAGTGCTTGCCTCAGGATCCTCATGAAATAAAAGCAGAGTGCTGGCCATCCAGTGCATTCCCCATGAATACACTGAACGCATCAAAGGTTGTCAGGAGATCCATCAGAAATGCTTTTTAAAATTGTATCCCTAAAGTCCTCATTTTTATGTTGATGGTTGAATTTCTAAGCTTGGGTATCATGAAATACAACTGGTGGAAAAATGTAGGAATCACCAGAAAATCGCCAGGATTGCCTAGGGAGAAGTCACCCTGGTGCGGCTCCCAGCGGGAGAGGCAATGTCCTTCCAGGAGATGGCTCTGCACATGGGCAACAGCGCTCTCCCCTTGTACCAGCCACTGGTATTTTCACTTACATGGTTCTCAAAAGTCTAAAAGTCACCTCCAACTCACTAAAGTCATGTGACACTTCCCCCCCGCAAAAATGTGCTTTTGAGACCCTCTGGTTGAAAGTGAGAAGGAAACAGTTGTGACCTATCACGATCTAAACCGAAGCTACAAGTTTGTTTGTAACTGGGATTAAATTGCTAAACTAATGGATGGATGTGTTACAGGAAAAGCATCCAAGCAAATCCTCATCACTTTGTTTCACTGCAGTTATCAGAAAATGTAGCAACACCAGGCATACATTAAGCATTGGAAGAAGCCACCAGTAGGCTCTCTGGTTGCTGTCTGCAGGGTATAAACAGCGAGGCTTCTGTCTCTTTCCACCAGCAAAACTACCTTTTCATAATCTCAGAAGATTATTGCACTTTTAGAAAATTATTCAATCCTCAAGGATCTAGAACCAGAAATACCATTCGACCTAGCAATCCCATTACTGGGTATATACACAAACGAATAGAAATCATTCTATTATAAAGATACAAGCACATATATGTTTACTGCAGCACTATTCACAATAGCAAAGACATGGAACCAACCCAAAGGCCCATCAGCGATAGAGTGGATAAAGAAAATGTGGTACACATACAGCATGGAATACTATGCAGTCATAAAAAAGAATGTGATCATGTCCTTTGCAGGGATACGGATGAAGCTGGAAGCCATCATCCTCAGCAAATTAACTGTTCTCACTCATAAGTGCAAGTAGAACAATGAGAACGCATGGACACAAGCAGGGGAACAACACACACCAAGGCCTGTCAGGTGAGGGGCGAGGGTGAGGAGAAGGAGAGCATTAGGACAAATAGCTAATGTATGCGGGGCTTAAAACCTATGTGACAGGTTGACGGGTACAGCAAACCACCATGGCACACGTATCCCTTTGTAACAAACCTGCACATTCTGCACGTGTATCCTGGAACTTGAAGTGAAAAAATAAAAACATATATTAAATAAATAAATAAGAAAAAGTATTATTAGAACTACCAATGCAGGCAAGGGGACAACTTTGCCTTAATTAGCAGATTACAATGGCTACTTTGCACTATGCCTACCTGTGGGATCAAAAAAGAAGAAGAAACAAGTTCCAGTGCCATCAACTTGCTTCTCTGCTCATTTTAAAGTTTTTTTACGCAATGGCCTAAATTTCAAGCAGAGAAAAATATATGCAGCTAAGGTAAACAAAGCTATTTGAACAATACCTTCCATCCTAAGAACTAACATTTAACCTGGTGTTTTAAAAGATGATACTTGCAAATATGGCTAAGCCATGTATTCAATTCTGTTCAACTACTGGTGTGAAATTTTAATCAAAAAACTAGAAAGCTCATTCAAAAAAGAAATTAGTGAAAAAACTTTGGTCGTCTCTCATCAGTGAAAACTGATTTAGTTATGCAAATTACTGCTATGAATATTAAACCACTGATGAAAGGTTTTTAATGAAGGGATCTTTTGTTTTGGAAATGCAAGGGTATATGCTTTAATTTCTTGCTAATTTACTGTTCTTTGATAATGTTCACATTTTCCCCAAAGTGGCTTTGCTGATGGGTTTAATACTGTGAATAGAACTACAGACCAACAATACTGGTTTTGACAAGCTTTCCCCTGTGTAACTATACATCGTGATTTGCATCCCCTTATGCACAATTCTATTAGGGTGAATTTTGTCTACAGGGCTTTCCCTGAAATGAATTCTCATTTTAATGTTAGCCTCCTGCAGTTTTTAATTTTTAATCTGTAATATGAAATTGCAAATTTTACAAACATCATTTGAAAAAGCCACTAGGACAGAACCGAATGCCAAAGTTTACATATTGCCTAATTAGACTGTTATGAGAGGCAGCTTATCAATGTCACACCAAAGATCATCAAAAAATCCAATTACTAATTTGAAAAACACATATATTTATAGGTTCATTTTGTTTCATTTGCATCCGGTTAGCTCAATAATTGTTTTAAAATTGCATTAGGGCTAATAATTTGGATTTCACTGGTAAAATACCTGCACTGCCAAGGGGGTGCCCTGCCCTGCTGGCCAGTGTGAGTGACAGTGGTGCTGTGGCCAGACCACCGAGAAGAGATCTCCTGCCATGCAAACCTCCGGTCCTCAGGTACCCTGGAGAGAAATCTTTTCAAAATGGAAAGACCTCACAGCACCTTGCCAAGGAGGCCAGATTCCAGCGGATGGAGCCTCAGGCACTCTGCAGATAATTAAGAATAAGCGTGAGGCAGCAAAGGAGCGGGCACAGGGCCCCATGTGTGGGGAGTGGGGGGTCCATAGATGGGTGGGCGGAGACCTCTGGCCTGGGGAGCTGGCCTCAATCATTCTAGAAGAACAAAAGCAGTTTCCTTCAAACTTTTTCATCATGGAAAATGTCAACAAGCACAAAAGCAAAGAGAACATACCCCAACTGCCCCCACTTCAATATTCAGCAACTCAGGGCTGATCGGCCCACCCACCTCCTTTCCTCCTTCCTACATTATATTAGAACAAATCTTGGGAAACCTGTTGTTCCAACTGTAGAGATTTGGGAATTACCTTGAAAAACTCTTTAAAAGACTTTAAACATAAAAATGTATCATACCTGAAAAACTTAATAAGAATTTCTTAATATTGTTGGATAGCTGGCGTTCAACTTTCCAATTGTCCCATAAATGTCCCAAATAATTGATTTCTTTACAGTTTGAGTCAAGATGCAAGTTGACTCACATCATAAGTTTCACATGGTAATGGGCTGATACGTTAAAGTCTCTTTTAATTTCTAAGTTCCAACCAACTCTCTCTCTCTCCCCCTATCTGTACCTCTCTCTCTCCCTATCTCCAGCTCTATCCCTATTTCTGTCTCTATCTTTATCTCTTTCTTCAATGTATTTATCCATCAAAGAAGCCAATCATTTGTTTTGTGTAATTTCCGTCTGTTTGGATTTTGCTGACTATGTCCCTGTGGGGTCCTTGACACACTCTTCCATCCTTTGTATTCCCTGGGATTTGGTAGCTGAATCTATAGCATGTATGAGACTCAGTTTTGTTTTTGTTTTTGTTTTTCGGCAAGACTACTTCACAGGTGGGTATGTCTTTCCACCAAGAGTTATGTAAAAGTAGGAACTTTTAAATTTGCTTATTTCTCATTTCCAAATGAATACTCAATGTAAACATTACAAATAATTCAAAAGAAGAAAGAGGCAGTAAGATGCATCCTTCCAGATATTTCACTGTCTATGTTGTATTTTTCTTCCTTGTGTGTTTGTTGTCATAAAATAGGATCATGCTATACATTCTCGTCTTAGAAATTGTGTTTTTTCACTTAATAAAATACCATATGCACTGCTGCTAAATCACTGAACTCTCCTTAAACTGTTATGAGTTGTCTTTCTTCATTTTATTAGGGCAGTTCCTCAAAATAATCTGGAGTTTAGGTTGACTTTTCAGACTCAAAATTTTTGTACACATCTTGAAGAATAATTCCCTAATTTGCTTATTCCACATCCCAGCTTTTAAATTAATAGAAGTAGTCATTCCTTTTGAGTATAAATGATATTTTCTTACAAATGATGAGAAAATAGTGATCTAAAACTGGCATTTTCTGCTCACAAAAAATCCTAACGCTGCCTTAAATGTTGGCAACCAGAGTTTCCTGGCCCCACTAAGCTGCGGGTGGTGACGGAGGCCTCTCCCTGAGACTCCCACAGCCCAAGCCACACAGTAAGATGCTCATTCACTTTCATTTCTGTTCTTTTCCACTGAACTTTTCTGCACCACCATTTTCCCCGCCAAGGCTGGCCCTCCATGTCCAGCCTCAGAACCCAGGAATTTGAGGTGTCACAAAAAGCACTACAGGGGAAGATTCTGAGCAGAGACCCAAGGGAAGGAGCCGTGGTTTAAGGAAAGATACAAAGGGAAAGCCCATTTGTGGGGTGCCTGTGATTTGCTTGTGTGTTTTCCAGATGTCAGTTCATTTAACTCTCACAGCTTCAAGCAGAAGCTTGAAGCAGGCTTCAAGACTCAGAGAGGTTCAGAAACTGGCAAAAAGCCACACAGCCTGTTGCAGAGCCAGGACTCCCACCTGTTCTGCCTCATTCCAAAGCCCATTTCCACTCTAGCATCAAACCTGAGTTGTAAGAAACCTGGA